TGAGATACTTGGTGTGACCACAATCATATTCATAGGATATGTTGGTGGTGTTGGTAAAAGTCATCTGCCTCAACGTACAAAGTGTGGTGTGCTACCTTGAGCAGCATTAAGATTTCTACAACCCGGTTCTCTTCCTTTTCCATGACCTCATCCTTTTCCTCTCCTCTTGGGTATTGGAAATGATGCAAAGAGAAACACATATGTATGTCCAGATTGAGTGGTTGAGTTACTGTTTACCATTGGTGAAAGATTGAACAACAACTCATGTTCAAGTAGGAGAGGGCAAAGATATATATATATATGACGTGAGAGGTGGTCGAGCCATAACTGAAGTAACAAACATTTTGTATTCCTCACCGAGCTCATGTAAAACATAGCAAATTTTTCCCTTGTCATCAATTGGATATTGTATAATTGCCAACTGATCAAAGAGAGATTTTTATATTTTTTAAATATTCTTGAATAGAATGTGCCCCACGTTTGCCATTTTGAAACTCGGTGCAAAGATGCATCAATCACATATCAGATTGTTGTGTAAATAAATAGTGAAGGGTAGACCAAATATCTTTTGTTGTAGCAATGTCAAGAACTTGTGCCAAAATATTAAGGGATAACGTAGAGTTGATCCATACAATGATGAGTTGATCATGAACATACCATTGTTCATATTCTAGATTATGAGTATTTTTATCAGCGAGAAGCAACTTAAAGGGGTATGGTGTAGAACCATCAAGATGTCCCATGAATCCTTAGCCTCTAACAATAGGAATAATTTGGTCTTTCCACAGTAAAAAATAATTATTGGAGAGCTTGATTGTCACAAGTTGAGGAAGAAGGTTAGGAAATTGGATGGATGATGACATGATAACAGCAATATAAATGAACAATTTTGTTTTTAAAAAAATCAAAAGGTATAAGGGGCTTTGAAATTTTTATTGGATTTAAAGAGAGAAATACTTCTTTGTAGATGGATACCCATGAAATCAATGCAAATTTGTGTAGAGAGAAAGTGATGTTAACTCAGAATACAGCATTAGAGAAGCAAATTAGAGAGTCAAAACACGACTAGACAGATAAACAAATCAGATAATCGAAAACGATTCGCTAGAGAGAAATCAGAGAGTCGAAACACGACTTGGTAGAGAGAAATTAGAGAGTCGAAAACACGACTCTGTGGGTGTTTTTACATATGGTGCAGATTGGCAGTTTTCAAAGGCCATATTCAAAGGTGGATTTAGAGAAGGGTTTTAGATACAGATCAACAAGGATATGTCAGTAAAGGGGAGCACGAAAACAATGATTTACAAAACAAAAAAGATTCAAATGTGAGGAGAGGGTCGCAATTACCAGTTTCTCTCTCAAAATTTGAAAGAGCTAGAGAAAGAGATGGCTCCAAAGAAGTTGCTCAAAGCTTAAACCATACCAGTGATGGCTCCACCACTGCCAAACACTGGCCTTTTTGTAGGACTAAACAAAGCCTGCCACCAAAAAAAGAGATTGCTCCTTGCCCCTTAGACAGAAAAAGGGAAAAGCAGTAAAAAGAAGTCATGGGCTTTGCGTCATATGAAAAGAGAATTAATGAGTTGCTGAAAGTTGGGAAAGATAAAGAAATCAGAGAGAAAGAAGAAAGAGATCAGTTCGAGAGAGAAACATGGGATGTCCAACGTGTAGAGAAAGAGACTGTTTGGAAAAGATAAGAGGCACCGATGAGAGAGATCGAGAGAACTAAGAGTGGAGACAGACCAATAAATAAAAGAGAGAGAGAGAGAGAGAGAGAGAGAGAGAGATTTGAGAGATAAGGGAAAAAATATCTAAGTGACCAAGAAAGTAGAGAGACCATGAGACCTAGAAAACAGATAATGAGAATGTGACACAGAGAAAACAGAGAGAGACTGAGAGAAAATAGAGAACGGGAGAACTTCAAGGTTATGGTAGCGTTTTAGCGCTGAGATGTGAGGCTAGGGTCGTAGCTAATGTAGCTACTATCATCAAATGGGTGAGATTTAGGCTCCTCCTTTTCAAGGATGAAAGTGTCGAATCCTGACATGTTTCAAGAGAGAGAGACACGGCAACAAAGTGGAGAAAGGCTCTAAATGAGAGATAGAGAGATGATGGATCAGAGGAATTTCGAGAGAGAGAGAGATAATGAATCAGAGTGCAAGGAAGAGAGAATGGTGAATCGGATTGATTTTAGATAGAGAAAGAGAAATGATGAAATGAGTTACAATTTAGAGAGAGAGATGGATCAGAGTGCAAGGGAAGCTACATATCAAGAAGCTGGTCTTGGAATGGGGGAGATGTGGGAGAAAGAGATGATACCCATATGGACAGAGAAAGCTAGAGAGACTGAAAATTTAAGAGACCGACACACAGTTTGCCTCATTTGCAGAGATAAATTTTAGAGACATAGTTGCAGAGATACAGAAAGAGATAACTGCAGAGCCAGAGATATTAGAGATTATCAAACAAAGAGTAGGAGAGCAAAAATAGGATCCTCAGCTTAGAGAGAGAGAGAGAAAGATGAAGTTATAAGTGATCACCCGGATCCAGCTTCTAGAGAAAGAGATGAAGTAATACTTGCACCCTGAAATACATGGAAGAAATATAGATAGAGAAAACCAAATTTGGTAGCAAAGAGAGAGAGAGAAAGAGACTTCGGGCTTTGAAAGAGAGAGAGGTAGATGCAGATGAAATTTTCGAAATGAATATGAGTCAACAACAGGGCAAAAAGGCTTGAAATTTCTCGACCTCATATCTGAGGTTGGCGAGCTCAAATCTAAGCCGAGGAGTCTATGGCTCTGATACCATGTGAGAAACTCATAATACTGCAGGAACTCTCTGTTTGTTAAATTAATAAATAATATACAATACCCCGTATAAATATACGGCTAGTAACAGTTTTGGATAGATACCAACAGTTATTGATAATTACTAATTAATACTATCATGATCAAGATGTGCTAGACACCTAATCTTATCAAAATATATATAACCATACCCATATACACATACAATATATGTATTTGTACAGACACTGATATATATCAGTTTTGATGTATATCCATATGCTAACAAAAGATAGGCTTGAATGTTAGTGAGAGAGAGAGAAGGCGTTGAAATATGGGTTTATAGGTAACCGAAACAGAGAGATAGAAAGAGATTAAAAAAGAAATTTTTTTTTAGAAGTAATAGAAAGCTTTTGTACGGAGATTTTGGAAGCTTGCAAAACTAAAGAGAGATTAAAAAAGAAATTTTTTTTTAGAAGTAATAGAAAGTTTTTGCACGGAGATTTTGGAAGCTTGCAAAACTTTGTGAGGAAGCTCAAGCACAACTTGAGGGATGAGAGAGACGAGAGGAATTTTTAGACGAACTGGGTCTTTGTAGTACGAGAGGAATTTTTTTAGTGAGACGTAATTTGTTTTTTTATAGAGAGAGAGAATGTAACTTACTTGAACAAAAGAGACATGCGAAAATGTTGAAGAAAGGCTCTGATAACATGAAATTTAGAGAACGAAATTTGTGTAAAATTCTCCACACCCATAGGGAAGGATGTGGGTTCTATTTATAACACCTATGTACTTATCCTTGAGTAACAGAAGCAAGGATGTGACTAGAATAAATCTGTACCGATATGAATGAGATTACAATATATCAAGTTAATACTTATCTATCTAAAACATCATCATTATCATTTTTATTAGTTTGTATAAGGCCGAGGCTATAAACAATCAAAATAAAGGGCACTTTTAAATAATATTGAGAAATGTGGTTTCAATGCTGGAAATCTTTGTGATAGCCTTAAAATTTATTTTCATATCTAATTATAAAATTTTAAACTTAAAAAATACTAGATCGAGCAAATCTATGAAAACTTGAAAATCTTGAAAATTAACGGTCCAAAAATGTATTACAAGATACACTATTTCCAAAACTTGAAATCCATTTTTTTCTCATGCCTATGTATCTTGAGGTCAAGATGATCAACTTTAAGATTTTTTAGTTTCAAAGCAACCTCTTCTAATAAAATTTTTTAGGTGTACCTTAATTTGATTGTTTAGAGCTTCACACTTATATAAACTTTTTAAAATCGATGTCTAACTAATGAGGAGTTTGGATTATATCTCATATGTTTGAGATACATGGGACACATATGGGAAGTTTGCTCACTAATATGAGAATCCTATTATGATATATATGAAATGAGAAGAAAATAATATATTTTTCTTACTTAGGATTAACATATGAGAATGATTGCATCCTCCAGAGAGAGATGTAAGGGGCTGCAGGCAATACCTTCGTATAAAAATATTTAGGGAAATTGGTCTCTTATAGAGAAGTAGTCCTCATAAATTTTTTAAGCAGTATCCCTAGTAAAAAATCTTGATTTGTTTGAAAGTACTCTTCCGCAACAACTATAGAATAGAGATGGGAGATTGGCAGGTGATTCCTGTCAGGAGAGCTAGTTTAAGAGAGTTGCTCTGGATTTTGCTGAGGGTTATATAAGTAAATTTGTGTCTTAAAATAAGCGACGTAACTCTTATTATTAAAATGAATTTCACTTGGCTGTGCTTACGAACATAGCCGCGTTAGGTTGAACATGCATGTATTTTGTGCTTTATTTTGTTTGTGGAATATTTGTGATTAAAGCCTTTAATGTTTCTCCGTTTCGTCCCAACTGGCGAGGGGGTGATAAATAGCATTTTCATACATGTTTTTTAATGCTCTCCAGCTGGGAGAGTGGGACCATAACTTGCGCTTCCTAATCACCAGACTCGACGGTGATGAAGCCGATATTTCCAATAGTTGCGTGGGCCCCGTGTCTTCTAGACCCTACTACTGACGTGGCACGGAATGGAAACGGCCCTTTCTTTTTCCGCCGTTACATGCGACTCCCGCGTCAAACATGCCGTGGGAACGTTCTAGAGGCCCTCCACGAAATATCTATATCTAGCGATTTCTAGCCGTCCATATCTTTTCATCGGACGGTGGAAAACACCCAAGAGCGTTAATATTTTAACCCGCTTCTGGAGTGTTCCGCCGGAAGCGGGCGGCGTATGGGGTGAGGATTTGCTCGCAGCCCGTCTCCCTTCCTTTCTCTCTCTTCCATTTTCTCTCTCTACACCTTTTCTCTGTGTAGAGCTTTCGTTTCGAAAACAGCACGGAAGCGAGCTGCCGTGTACGAGGATGCAAAGATGTAGGCTTTTAGGTTTGGGTTTGTTATCTAATTCGTCGACATTACCATTTTTCCGGCAGAAACCAGGCGCTGAACTTCACGGCATATGTTGATTGAGATTTGAGAAGTAAGGAAGTGGTCTCTAAAGTTTTTTTCCGGCTAAAATGGCACCCCGAGGAGAGAAAGACAGTGATTTTTATGCAATTTTAGGGTTGAAGAAGGAGTGCTCTGCTTCAGATCTCAGAAATGCGTACAAAAGGCTCGCACTTGTTAGAATAACACCCTTCATTCATCTGCTTTTTCTGTTCACTTAATCCTTTTCCTATCAGTATTCCTGTTTCTCGATTCGAAATGTTGCAGGGTAAAGATTTTCTACGTTTTAGCTTTCTGAAACTTCGGCTTTTCGATTGTTTTCGAAATTCCACATTTTATAGCGCTTTCATCTCTTTTAGATAAAATTTTTGCTACTCTTATTTCTGAGGATTTTCACTAATTCGTATCGAGCGTTGTTTAATTCTGTTAAGATAAGACCATTTTTTCACAGAGTATATGGATTGCGCAGCGGTGGCATCCAGATAGGTGCTCTGCCTCAGGGAACACAAAGTTTGTGGAGGAATGCAAGAAAAAGTTCCAGGCCATTCAGCAGGCTTATTCCGGTACTCTCACTCACTCACCTTCTTTATCTCTTAGTTCTCACACGAAATTGGTGAATCTCTCTCGGTCTCTCCATCCTGATGCAGAACTGGTGGATTTTGCAGTGCTCTCGGATGCAAATAAGAGGTTTTTGTACGATGTTGGAGCATATGGAAGTGACGATGACGATCAGGTAAGTGTCTGATCTGACAAAGCAATTGCAATTTCCACCACTCCTTTATCTGCATTTCTGTTCAACCTTTTTCTCTGGTTCAGCAATGGCTTGGTCATTTCTTTCTACCACTCGTTTATCTGCATCTATGTTCAACCTCTTCCTCTGGTTCAGTAATTGGCTTGGTCATTTCTGTTCAACTACTTTCTCTGGTTCAGCTATGGCTTGGCCATTTTCTCTCTTCTAGAGTATTATTTTGGTCATTTATGTTCAACCTCTTCCTCTGGTTCAGCTTGGTCATTTGCTCTCCTCTTTAAGTACAAATAATGCAGCTCTGTCTTTCTGTTATGGAAAAAGATTATATACTGAGGCCCTAAATAATCAAAGTAAGGTACACCTCAAAAATTCACTTTAAGAAGTTGTTTCGATGTTGAGAATCTCTTTAAATTGATCATCTCGACCTTGAGATATTTGAACATAAAAAAAAAAAAATAGAGTTTTAAGTCTTGAAAATAGTGCATCTTGTAATTCATTATCTAGAGTCAATTTTCAACATTTAAGTGTTCATAGATGTGTTTGGTTTACGCTATTTTTTAAAGTTTATATTTTATATTAGGGAATAAAAATAAATATTTAAGTGTTCATACATGTGTTTGATTTACCCTATTTTTTAAATTTTAAATTTTAAATTTTATATTAAGGAATAAAAATAATTTTTTAGCCCATTATGAAGATTTTTTATATTAAAATGACATCTTTTCATACTATTTGAAGGTGCTTTTTGGTTTGATTGTTTGGAGCCTCGGCCTTATGCAAACATGTTGTCAGTATATTATTCATACTTTTGTGGAACGTTTCATTTTGAGCTAACTTAATGTGTATAGGGAATGGGTGAATTTCTTGGGGAGATGGCGGTAATGATGAGCCAGACAAAGCCCAGTGTAAGCTCTCCTCCCTGTCCCTCTTTTGTTTTTCCCACTTCAATTTAGACTTGCGAAATGAAAATCCATACGAAAACCTTGTCGATTGATAATGATATTACTGACATGACCTTTCAACAACGACTAATATCAATTTGAGACCAAAAAAAATGGTAACCATCACTTGAGAAAAAATGGTAATAATAAGCTGGATTTTCCTTTGTGTATATTGAAGTGAGCTATTGATTATCAAATTTGTTTTTGGAAACTAATAATGGTGGAAATCTTAGGGCACGTTTGATATGGCTAAAACTACTTAGTGAAAGTATGTTCACGTAAGAAACTCTGATAAGATGAGGGAGTTTTTTCACATGGTTCTAGTGCATTTTTTTCACGCCAATTTGCAGCTTAAAAAACACAACAGCACCTAATCAGATTAATAAGTTTTTTCCAAAGGAAAATGCTTCACAAAGCATTTACTAGGAGCCTTTATTTTAAACATTTAACACAAAAAGAAATTAAGTTACAGGTGATAACCTGCAAGATCATACACCTAATGTGCACGGTAGAGTGTTAAGTGTCCCTAATTTTTGTATGGAGTATAACAATAAGGAACCATACTCTCGTAGAGATTGTTCACTGTCCAACTACTTGGGCAGTTGGGGAGGGGGCAGGACCTGGTTGGGTCATCAAGTCTCATTGGAAGTGGGTCTCACTGATGGTCATGGTTACCATGACCACACTATTGCTATGGTCACGCCTTATGATTAGTTTGATGATTTTTGCAATGGTTCTCTTTTTGGTCAGATTTCTTGCATTTTGTTTTTCTTTTGATTAGGAAAAAGGGCCGGAGAGCTTTGAGGATCTACAGAACTTGTTTCAGGAGATGTTCGAAAGGGATCTGGACATGTTTAAGTCATCGACCTCCCACAACAACAACAATGATAACAACAATAATAATCATAGGAGTAGTGACAATAATAATTGTAGTAGTGTTCATTGTTTTAGTAACACCAACAAGAGGAATTGCTCGGATATGAATGCCGGAGAAGCCTCGGAGGTCGGGCGCTTTGCTTTCTCATGCTATGCGACAGAGTTCCTGCACAAGCAAACTTTCTCCGTCGGGGTAATCTAGTCATGTCTTTGCCTTTGAATAATAAATAATCGTTCTTTTACAGTGAGATTATATAGAGCGTTTGATAGGGTCTGCTTGTGTCTAGAGTTATTTTAGTTTCTTGGGAATGAGAGCTGCAATTGCCCTTTATCCTTGTTATTTGTACTTTGTATATATAACAAGTGTTACTGGGAAGAAGTTAATTGAGAATCAAAATATCTGTTCTAGGATTTAGTGGGGTGCAGTGGATATTACAGTATTTGTCTAGGATTAACCTGAGTTTCCTTTTTGTTTGTATCCATGCGTTTCTCTGCATCAGGATTCGGTGGGTACAGTAATACCAACACCACCATCCAAAACATGGAAAATATTTTCCCTTGTCTCTCGCTCTTTGTTGCGATTCCATGTCATTTACATAGGTGACAAAGATATGCAACAGTGTTTGTTGTCTTCGATCGTCAGAACTTTAGAAAGTTCAATGAAATATGTCACCACCTTGATTTGCCTCCATTTATGCTCTAAAGAGCGGCAATGGGCAAGGTGGTCTAAACTCTTAGTGGCGGACAGGGCCAAAGAGGGGCAGGGTGGCCCTACCCGGCCCGGACCTCGACCTGGGCCAGAACAAACTGAAATGCGGACTGGGTTTGTTGGCGTGCCGGGACTTGGTCCTACTTTTTCTTTTAAGCTCTTTTTTTTTTTTAAAAGTAAATCTGGCCGGGCCTGGGCTAGGTCTTATTAACTTGGGCCATGCCTGGAAAGGCTCTATGGGAAGAGGGCTGGGTTCTAAACTCTTTGTAAGTGTCCATTGTAAAGTGGGGTTTCGGTGTTTTAGGCGGATGATGTGCGATCGGAGTCGAGCAACAAGAGACGAAACGGGAGGAAACAGAAATCCACCTCCTCTTCAAGGAAAAGTTGAAGCTCTGAAGATAATTGTTGAGAGAGAGAATGGCATGCCTTGGACACCAGGGAAAAGAGAGAGAGAGAGAGAGACAAGCGCGGGTTGGACAGCTTTTTTCGTCCTTGGGCGTCAGAAATTAATTTAATGCTTATTTTATTGTGGAGAGATGAAAAAGGAGGCCTACTGATTTGAAGGACTGTCAAAAGAGAAAAGATCCAAGCTAGGGCCGTTCCTGTATTCGTCATCAGCCTCCTTATCAGAACGTTACCAATTTCCCAGGAATCCGTGATTGGACACTGTCTATTATTGTATTTCTTTGTTTAATAATTTAATTGTACGGACTCGTGTCATCTCCGCTTAGCGACTGGACATTTATGAGCAGAAAAGGCCGTTGCTTTCTCCTGGTTGTCGGCTGGCGTGGGCCGCGTCTTGATGTGATTTTCACGTTCGAGCTGACTAAAGTGCCCCTTTTGTGAATGGCTCCACTTCCATCCAAAAAATTTACGCAAAGTGGTGAACTTTCGCCTGCCGAAATTTTGGCGAGAGATTTAACTATGTGGGAGTTTTCCTTGCAATTTTGACCACCCAAAAGAAATTTAAGAGAATTTGGGTTTTGGGTTGGACCTCGTTATGTCTTGCCATAATCACAGTCTTAAATCCCAATTAGGTCCTTCTACCCACAAATAGGTTCGACCTCCAAAAAATCAACGTCGCCCACTCTGTGCTAATGTGAATGAAAATTGCCGATCTATAAGAAACTCTTCCATACTCTACAAAGGGGAATAAATTGTGAGATCTTAAAAGAGCGATTACATCTCTGAACCACATTATATTTTCTATTAAACATAGAGAATTACATTAAATTTTATTTCAAAACTAATGTGGAAATCCTCCTCTCTTGTCCAAAGTGCTCCACCCTAGGTACGGTTCACCATATCAGATTGAGTATTTGAATTAATCCCTCATGAGCTTTGTATGCTCAGAAGCTTACTCAACTTCGTTTTTTACTCCCGCACATCAAATAAAACATTGTTCTCATGAAAATCAAGAAATTCATTTGTAAAAATTTTGTATTTTATTATAACAGTTTTTTGAAATCATTTTGCATAAGAACATCCAAGATAAAAACCCTTTTCTCCATGTGTACTTGATGAGCATTATGAATTATCCTGATCTTTCTAGGTACCAATCCGAGTGTGATGGAAATGGTCTTACTCTATATTGAGAACATGGTAGAATATAGGGTAGGAGCTCTTCTATTATTTTGTTTTGACCTTACTATTTTTTTAGATTTGCCTTTAACCCATTTGAATCATGCATATGACCATAGGAAGGCACGCTAAAATGACAATATCAAGTCTCCAATTCCTAATATAGTCATACAGGGAATAGATGATGGATTATTTCTCTCAAGGTATAATGGGTAACAGGATCAACATATACACCTCTACCTCTATGGTAATAGTGGTCCTATTAAACACGTGTGGTGTGAGTCGCATGTCACAATGTAAATTATAAACGGAATTAAGATTTATGGGACTTACATCATGCAGGCTAACTTCAATCGCAGCCATGTGCCCCAAGGTTGCACCGAAGCAACTAACTTGAAAACATCCTTGATGTTCCTACCTAGCTGCCATACCTGCTACTGGAAGGGACAATAAACGATTTCAATTGTGAAATCTCATGCCAATGTCACAGTGGATACTCACATACCTCGAATGTTTGTGATCGTCCGATGTCCCTTGTCACTGAGGGTGATCATGCTGTGCGATAATTTATCTTGTAATGAACATGCGTCCTCATCTCTCTGGCTATAGACTTGTGTTTTGTTCAGGGGGCAATGCTCCTAGCATCATTGAACAATGAAGTTTTTCAAAATGAACCGGAGATCTTCCAGGGAAGAGTAAATTCTCTGTTATCGCACCTTTCCAAACGCACTCATAAGAGTGCTCTTCTCTACACTATTCTTGCACATTTTATGGGTGAAACTAATTTGATTTTTTCAAAAAGCTCCCTAAACAGGTGTTAAAGTCATGAGAAGGACCTAGCTTCTCGACTCGGGCAGTTGGGAGTGTAAGACCCCATAGCTACACAAAATGGTTGGCTCGGGACCTAATATGGGCGTACCTAGAATCTAACTACATTTCACCGTTTCATAGTTTGGGTACCCGATTTTCCAACCTAATCAAGTGACAGAGAGATGCAGTATAAAATCGACAAATACCACCTAACAAAATAACCTCGTTTTAGAGAGGAAGTAAAAATCTAGATAGGAATCACGAGGAGAAAGAACAAAATTTGGGGATGAGTATTTCAACACGGACCAAATTCAATAGAAGAAAAAAAAATACCCACGAAGGGGCCTCTCTTTCTACAAGAAAGACTTTCTTTATTCCATAAAATTTAATCTTCAATTATAATTTGCATGGTCCTTTTATCGGAGTTCATATTCACCACCCTAAATATAATACTAAAATAAGATAACTAACAAAATACTATCGATTCAATTTTTACTCACGCCTTGCACGTCCTATTCCAAAAGACAACATAAAACCTTCTTAATCTAACTTTATCTTTTATTAACAACCTAATCTACTCCTATGAGCTAAGGAAATAACCTCCTTATAAAAAAAGAAATTACCAATTGATAACCAAAATACTTATCTTTTTAGGAAATATAGCCTGTTAGGTCTCCCCACTCCAACTAGAATACGTTACTCCTACTGCAAAACGTTATCTTAATAAGCACTCCTATCCCTAATAGATAACTCCACCTCCACCCTAAAGAAATAATCCTAAACACGTATTACCATCTCAAAAGAGTAAACTTTTTTCTAAGAGAC